ATGATGGTGGAGCCGCTCCCTCCCACAACGCAGCGCGCCGCCGCCCTGTCATGACGTCACGCGCACCGTGATACTAAGCCTTCTGGGAAATGTAGTGTCACCCAGCCCACTAGAGTGGAGGTGGGCTCAGTACAGAAAGGGAATGTGGGGAGTCTTCCAATTCATGTTTTTTATATACAGTACTTGTTTAAAATAGACAAGCTTTGTGTTATGGTGCATGTATAGCCAAACCTTTTAGTAGTGGGGGAAGGGTTAAATCCTCTGCCAGGTTATTTTTTTGCTGTCTGTATACCATTGTGTACATTTCCTTTTACTTCCTTTTCAAGAGATGGCACTTCCTGTGCAGCTGAGTGTCATAACAACAAGGGACAATGTACTGCTGTAAGTATCATAGCGACCAAGGATGCTGTGCAGCTGATATTGTCTTAGCTAGAGCTGCAACAACTAATCGACATAATCGATTATTGAAAAAGTTGTCAACTTTTTCAATAATCGATTAATCGGCTTCTGATCAGTTGGCCCTGTTCACAGCTCCACATGCTGTGCACCGCACCTCCTCCCCACCTCACGCTCACCGCTGCCAGACCCGCTCGCATCCACGCTCCACACACCGCACCTCCTCCCCGCCTCACATTTCCTGCCCATCCACATCCACGATCGGCACAGGGACGCGGGGAGAAGTAGTAAGGAGGAGCAGGTGTGGGGGTATGGCAGCTGCTGATAGACCGGTCTGATCTCAGAAGCACGTTGCTGGAAGACTGCACTTTACCACACATGGTGCTCTATAATGTATTGCTGGGATTTGTATTTCTCTATAGTAGAGCTGCAGCTAACGATTATTTTCATAATCGATTAGTTAGCCGATTATTAAGTTCGATTAATCGGTTAATCGGATAAAAAATAAAATACATTTTAAAAAATGGCTCCAGTGATGGGACTACTAGTTTGTATTGAGATTGCAGTCCATCACAGGAGCAAGCTTGGAGCGGTGGAAGTAAAAAAGAAAAAACAAAAAGTGTGGTGTGCAATATAGTGGAATGGAAAGTGTAAAATTATACAGCAATGAATGCAGAATACCATCAGCTATAGAGGACTACAAAACCCAGCAATAGTACATTATAGCTGGCGGTATTCTGCATTGCGCTGTATAATGTACTATTGCTGGGTTTTGTAGTCCTCTATAGCTGGCGGTATTCTGCATTGCGCTGTATAATGTACTATTGCTGGGTTTT